CCTTCTACTACCACCTCCAAAGCTTCTACAGACAGATTGGCGAGACATGACTGTTTCTTCTAAGTAAAGCCAAAAAAAAATGAAAAGAGAAGATCAATGCAGTTGTGCTACAGCAGACGAGTATAGAGAGAAGGAAAGTGAGTCCCTCTGACTCGAGGGCAGTCAATGCTCCCTTTTATCTGTTTCTGGAGGTGGGCTGGGTGTGCATGGGCGTGAAGGAGGAGACAGTTATTGTCTTCATCAGCTTGGCGTGGTTTACAGATTTTCATCTTCAATTTGCCAAACATTGACCCTACCCAGAAACACACCCTATAATGCAGGAGAGAATTTTAAAATGATCCAACAGTGTCTACCAAATGGTAGTCTTATACTTCTGTGGCATATTAACAGTCTCTCTATGATATGCTGGTCTTTTTTTAACCTTTCATTTATTGCAGTTGGTTTCCCTGCTTATGTTTATCTTTATTTTCATCTTTCAGTCCAAAGCCCCATGGCAGGCAAGCGCTGCCGCTCATGCCAAATTGTAGCACGGCTTTCACAATTCCCAAAACACACCTATGTTACACCCTAAGTCTTCTTTTTTACGTGGAAAATTGCCTTTGGCTTTGAGAAGCAGTTTCTCAATCTAGAGCCGGGGCTCAGCAAATTGCATTTTGATGAGGAGCTGCATCTTTTTGATAAATAAAACTTCACCAGTGCGACGTTCCTGTGGCAATGGTTGGTGCTTGGAATTTCTTTTGTTGTTGAATTGAAATCTTTCTGAAAGTGAATCTTGGAGTCAAGATGGTCTCTGCATCAGGAGAAAAATGTCATTAATGTGACAGATGGCAAATTCCTTTGGGATTTTCTGTAGGTTTCAAGAAATAACTGAGCATGAGAAGAGCCAGAGCACACACCAGGCACCCAGTCACTGCCCTTGGAAGCAGGGACAGACAGACAGCTCCAAGAAAAGGCAAGGAAGAGGAGGGAGGAAAAATCATGCTGACCACATAATAAATATTGCAACAATTTAAATGCAATTAGTTAAGCAGAGGATGCTGGAGAGCTAAGCTTGTTTATAAAAGGATATTAAAACATCGAGAACAACATGCACAATAATGTCTGCTCAAGGGAAAGCACATTTTGGGGCTATTGGTATTGATATACCAATATACCAAATGTATTATTGGCAGACAGATACACTTGTGATTTGTCTTGAGTCCCCTTTGAGAATAGAGATATATAAAGCTTTTTAAGCTTATTAAAATACTCTAGTTTTGATGCTCAAATGACAAAGAATTAGCTTATGATATAGACTTGCAATGATAACACTATGAAACATCATGCATTTCTCATTTATTTTGTAGAAGTCTGGTTAACAAATAACATTGTTTTTGTTATTTTTTTTATTTTTGCACTTTTATTGGCAAATGTTTTGAAGTCCCCCCCAGACTCTCTGGTAATTTAGGCATCTAACTGTTCTGCTAGCTGCCTAACAGGCTTTTCAAAAGTTGCCACAGGACAGCGGCAATTAAGTGCATCTTGAAAATCCATGTTAGCAACTCTTAGCATCCTCAGATATCTAAAATCCCCTAAAAATATAGCCCAGACACCCATTCCAGATGCCACTGGAGAACCTTGGTGTCCCTCCATGGGCTGCTCATCCACCCCTGCACCATCATGGTCTTTGGGAACATGTCAGGAAGCAGCTCATGAAATAAATCCAACTAAAAATTTATATGCAATGATAACACAGTCACTGTGAGACAAAAGAGGTGGGGAGAACTGGGGTTTTGGTAACTGCAGAGCGTAATTTAAATGCACATTAAACCTGTGCCCTGAGGAAGTCCCATATGGCTTGTTGGGCTTCATCAAGACTTTGTCTCTTGCATGATTCAGTTGGGACAAACTCCTAACTTGCTTGGGTGGTTTTGAAATATTACCTCAAGGAACACGGCAAACATTATCCAAAAAAAAGGATGAACATTCGAGCAGCTCTCCGGGCCAAAACACAACGGCCACCTCTACAACAGGAAAGGGGAGTCCTTTCCATCTAAAGGGGAGGTGAAGAGCAAGCAAGACCTGGCAACTTTGGATTAATCACTCAAATGCATTCCATCATTCCCTGCCATACCGCAAGGTTCAGGAGGGTGCTCTGAGTTTGCAGCTATTAGGGATGTAATTATATATATATATGCGCATGCACAGACGCACACACATTTAACAAGTGACTTATTTCTTCCCTTGCCTCCCTTCGGATTACCAAATACGTGGTTACGTTTTTTGGTCTGTAGGCAGTACGACACCATCATAAAGTTTCACATTCCCAGCCGCGCTTGACAGGCGGAGATTCGTTAAGTCAGCACAATGCCCAGGTCCCAAGTGCTCATGTTTAGATAACAGGCCCGTTGAGTCACCGCCAGGTCTCTAGCCAAGCTTAGGAAATCAAGCAGGGATTTGAATGTCAACATCATCATCCCGTTCAAGTGCAATCGACAGCTTAGACACCAATGAGCTCAATCAACATCATTGTACCCTAAGTCCAACAAGGGAAAACACGTGGGCAGGAAGACAGGAAAAGCTACTCAACCCTTCAGGAGCAAAACCACCATCAGTTCACATGCATTGAATTTCTGGATGTCTTCATATTTTCTAAGAATTCTCCCTGTGTAAGTGTGCTTTAGGCTAGGGACACTTAAAATGGAAGGGAAGAATGGGAAAGTCAACCCAAATTTATTTTAGGTCAAATAAAATGTGTCGCTCCTCCAACAGAGGCTGAAATGTCATATCTCAGCCCAGTTCAGAAGATTTTTCACCTAATTGCTGGAACAATCATACAAACAGAATGAAGGGCTTTTTGTTGTCTTTTTTGACTAATGTATTTGTAAGCATCTGGAAAGGCTTCTGTTCCTTCTTGGAGCTGCCCTTATGCCAGTCATCCGCTGGAGGCAAGTTTACACAGAGGTTTGGTTAACTCAAAGGGAAGTCATTGTCTGCTCATTCAACACCATCTCAGGTCACTTTACAACCTACTAGAGTATTTACCATTGCCCAGACAATGTCCCCATCCAAGTAGTTACATGCCTTCATTGGCAAAGTTGAGGCATTCCACAATCACTAGCAGATGCATTGCTTGAACATTTAGGAATGGGCAACCCAGCATGGCATAAATGAAATGACTCATCCAGATCATGGAGCAAGCCTGCAGTTGACCAGGGACATGACCGCTTTCTTCCGTGAAAGCAGTGCAACCACACCAGTGGTTTTCAATACTTTAAATTTACAGGTCCCCAGGAATATTCTAAACTTACATAGAAATATTCTAAAGTAATGACAGGGCCTTGCAGAGGGCTGGGAGATCCCTGGGGTTGGTTGAAACCAGATGCAGTGTGATGTTTCCTGCCCATCAGAGCCAGAACATAGCCAAAACAAGACAGAAATAGCAAAATAGCAGAAAATCTGCTCTCTCTGCAGGTCTTGGGAGAAATCCCTTTTCCTGCCTGGACCCTGGCATCCTTCAAGAATCCATGCACAGAGATTGTTCTGATTTAGCTGGAGGTTTGAGAACCACCCCTTCCTCTTGGCACCATCTCCCATAGGATGCACCAAAAACATTCTGTACCGTGGACTTTCCTCCTTGTGACAGCACCAGCTTTGGGGTAACAACCTCGCTCTGCCGTTGGGACACAAAGTTGGGGAAGATCATTCTAGAAGACGGGGAATCACGGGTGGTGGCTGGGAACTGCTCCCAGTGTTGAGGTGGTGGCTGAGGAGCTTGTGAGCAGCCCAAGTAAGCAAAGAGTTTTGGAGGAGAAAGGGGAAGAGCCTAAAATCCCTAAAGGGCCCAAGGAGGAGGAAGGCAAGAACAATAAAGCTTTTAAGCTTGACTCAGAGCTGCATCATCCTCTCCTGCCACCCCTCCAGAAATGAAACGACTCTCAGGGAGGTAATTCAAGAAAACCCTGCGTTTTGCAGGCTTAACCCAATCAAACCGCAAGAGAGAGTGAGCCTAACCCAGCAATTTTGTCCGCCCAACCACTTCAGCTCCCAGGACCTCCACTCTTTCTGCCAAAGTGCCAAACTACACCAGGTGTTGGAGAGTCAGGGGGCGGGAGAGGGGTAGAACTTGACAAACGCTGCAGGAAAACAGGCTACAAATTAGCTCTGGTTCCTTCAAACGCAAACTTCAAAGGGCACGGGAAAGTCAGGGAAGACTTTCAGATCTCAGCAAAAGCCGAGTCTTGTTACAACATGAAACTCTTCAGTCAGAAAGGAAAAACACACCAGCTCACTGCCTGTAGTGTTTAATAGGATATGCCTTCTGCCAAAGGAGAAAAGCTTAAGCAAACAAGCACAAGTGTTCCCATGATCGCAATGAGAAAGCAAAACCAGCACAAAATGAACATCTTAACAGTTGCTTCTAAAGGAAAGTAGAGAAACTACCAGCATCTTGTTTAGACAAAACTGCGGTGGGGTAAGGGACGAGTCAGCATTAGGAAATTCTTGTTTTGGAGTCAGAGCCTTGGCTGATGTGTAGCCAATCGCAATTGCACCATATCTGGATCCAGCACAAATGTTTTAAAGTCAGGCCGCTGTGTAGGCTTTATAGAGCAAGAGTCTTCTGAAGTCTTCTTGGTAGCAGCATGTGGACCAGTCCTGTCTAGCTGCCATGGTTGGAATGTCCCTCATTTGGCCCACCGTGCTTAATACCAATATTCCGGGGCTGGTTGGGGCCTTTTGGTGCTCTGGTAGATCCTGCTTTCCGCAGAGCCTCTGGGAGAGCAGGAGAAGTGGGAAGCAGATGCGGAAGGGGGCAAATCAAGCCCCAAACACTGTGGAGAAGCTCAGTCACTAGCAAGTTGCCTTATTTTATTTTTCTGTGTAGTTGCTAAAGGATCATGGAGTGGTTGGTTTCAACCAAAGTAGATGGTCGTCACCTTGGCGGTGGGTGGTGGAAACGGTCAAAATGCCAGATGACTCCGTTCTCCTTTGGGAGCAGCGGGATGAGATAGCTCCCTTTCCTAGGCCCTCCGGCTCACGGAGCTCGTCGACACGGAGGTGGTGGTTTTCAGGATGGTGCCGGATCCCGCTCCAGAACCAGAGCCTCCAACCACAGAGCAGACTCCTGCGCCCGAGCCAAAGCCCCCTGCTCCTCCCAAGCCGTACCCACCGCTGGAGCAGAAGCCACCACTGCTTCTGCCACTTCCAAAGCCAATTCCGCCTCCTCTTCCACCTCCAAGGCAGAGCCCGCCGCTGAGGCCACCTCCTACAGCACTGCTGCTGCCGCCCACCACCGCTGTGGAGAAAACAGAAGAGATGGAATTATGTCCAGAGCCATCCCGGAATGCAACCCCGCAGCCCGCTGTGCTCCTTCCGGAGCGAGGAATGCTACTTACAGATGCTCACGGCGCTCTGGCACTCCCCAGACATCCTGTAAGGAAAAGACAGACCGTCACCTTCAACCAGAGCTTTCTGCATGCAGCCAGGCTTGGTCTAGGAGACCTTGGGTGTGAGCAGCAGCTGTAGGACCTTAGGCCATGGACTATGATCCATTAATGGCTATGCCATTAACATTATTTTAACAAGGGGGTGTGTTGCATCCTTCCCATTGATTTAGCAGGGTGCAAACGCCTGTATCTCACTGACCTGCACTCCTCTCCCTCCAGCAGCTTCCTGTAGGTCGCGATCTCGATGTCCAGGGACAGCTTGACGTTCATGAGCTCCTGGTACTCGCGGAGCTGCCGGGCCAGGTCTGCCTTGGCCTTCTGCAGAGCTGATTCCAGCTCAGCCAGCTTTGCCTTGGCGTCCTTGAGGGCCACCTCTCCACGTTCTTCGGCATCCGCAATAGATGCCTGCAGTGCTTCACACTGAAGGGCAAGACATGGGTCTTATGAATTGGTGAAGGACAACCATAGATATTGAGAAAATGCCTGAACATGCAATGCCCTTCATATTTTTATGTGTAAATCAGCTGGGGTCAGCTACTCCCAGATACAGGTAGTTCTTTTCTGTTTACTCTGTTACTAGAACATTTGCTGGTAGGGAAGTCCTGAAGAGATTTACCTGTTCACACCCATTTCTAAGAAAATGCAGCCCCTACCTGTTTCTTGACATTCTCAATCTCAGCCCGTATCCTCTGGATCATGCGGTTGAGCTCAGCGATCTCAGTCTTGGTGTCCCTGAGGCTGTCTCCGTGTTTTCCTGCGGTAGCCTGCAACTCTTCATACTGATGGGCAGAAACAAGAGGAGCACTTGATGTCCAACACGGGTTGTTCCCCACAGCAGCTCCCCATGCAGCAGCCAGGGTAAACGCACCCACACCAGCTGCAGCCAAGCACCAGTATTAGCAATATTCCATTTCCCAGGATAGGGTGCACAAGCCCAGCTAAATCCTCAGCATGGCCTTGAGTTTAGAACCAACTCCTTGAGAAGCCCACTGCAGCCTGGGATTTACAGAGCATGAAGATCTCCTCCATTCGTCCTCTTTGCAGTTTGTTCAAGGAACCAGAGAAAGCCCCATTTCTCCTCTACACTCCCCGAATCAGTGTTAAATGGTCCCGTATTTGTTCTCCGAGTCTAGCACCTCAGCCCTCCATGACCATGAGCGACTTGTAGATCGCTTACCTTGCATTGGTACCAAGACTCAGCCTCTAAGCGACTCCTGTTGGCAATCTCCTCATACTGTGCTTTGACCTCTGCAATGATGCTGTCAAGGTCCAGTTGCCGATTATTGTCCATGGACAGAACCACCGAAGTGTCAGAGACTTGCTGCTGGATCTGGGCCAGTTCCTGCAGGTGACAGCAGCTTTAAAGTCTTTCCTTAGAGTATTATACTCCATTCTTATCTATCCCCTTTCCTTTCTAGGATCTACCCCTGTCCCCAGACCTATATGTTTTCAAGTGACTAGCAATTATAGTTGAATTCATGAGACATCTAGAAGAAGCCTGGTGCTCATTGCCCAGCAGTATCAACATGGGGACAGGCACACCAATATTTGACTGCTCTTTGGACAAAAAAAAAGAATTGTCCAGGCATGCAAAAAAGGCAAGAAATAGGAGCATTCATGGGGCAAAGCGTGGAGAGGACTCAATTAGAGAAGCTCTTTGAGATCAGGAGAACAACTGGACCACTCACCATTTCATAAAGACACTTCAAGAAGTTAATCTCATCCGCCAGACTGTCCAGATTTGCCTGAAGCTCGATCTTGTTCATATAGACCCCATCGACATCCTGCAGCAGAAATTGGAAGTGAGTCTTTCCACCCAACATGTTATTGTTATCCCATACTGAATGGTGGACCCAGTGCTTCCCTCCACCAGTCCTGGTTTATGCCTGGTGCTTGCAAGCAATTTCAACAGGAATACAAGCAATGAAGCATTCCCTGAGCAACGATGGGCCTTTGTGGGGGGAATTAAACACATCAGTGTCTTGAGCATGCAGATGAAGACCTCATTTACACATTTGGTTATTT